TCAAACGACGATATCACTCGGGATCAGACAATAATCGCCCTCAGCAAGAGAAAGCTGATGATTCTGATTTAATGGAAAATCAGCTGGCTTGCTCCCTAGTAATCCGACCTCAGCTATGATGTCAAGAGCATATTTCCGCTGATAGAAAAAGAAGTCAGAAGAATCCGGGCAACCTCGACACCCAAAAAATACTTAAGCATTCCAAGATTCTTCATGTGAAAACAACGACTCAAGTAACCCTTGAAGGCCGCAATGGATGTGGTATCATTCCCGGAAACAATTAGATCATCAACATAGACCAGAACCGGCAGATGGACAGAACCACGATGCAGTGTAAAAAGAGAGTAATCATGATAGGACTGACAAAAACCATACTGCTTTAAAGCCGTAGTCAACTTGGCAAACCAGCAGCGGGGGGCCTGTTTCAAGCCATAGAGGGAACGACGAAGACGGAAAACCTGCCCATCAACGCCAGAACGAAAACCAAGAGGAAACTTCATGTAAACCTCCTTAGCCAAATCACCATGAAGAAAAGCATTGTGAACATCCATCTGGTGAACTTCCCAATGCTTAGCAGCAGCCACAGCCAAGAATAACCGGACTGTAACCATTTTGGCGATGGGAGCAAATGTCTCGTGATAGTCAAGACCTTCTACATGATTATTGCCCAAAATCACCAGACGCGCTTTATAGCGCTCAACGGAACCGTCAGACTTATGCTTGATCTTAAAGACCCATTTGCACCCAATCACATGCTTCCCATATGGAAGAGAAACTACATCCCATGTGCCATTATTCTCCAAGGCACGAATCTCATCCTGCATAGCGGCTCGCCATCGAGGATCAGTCACGGCATCAGCAAAAGTGTGAGGCTCAGAAGCAGAGGCGACAACAGCAAAAAAAACTCGATGAGCTGGAGAGAATGAATCACAAGAAACATAATGTGCTATGGGATAAGGTGTACCGGAGGATGGAGAAGACTGGAGAGAAGCAGTGGAGGGTTCATTCGAAGCCCGAACAGTGTCAACCACAAAGTCCTTCAGCCGAGTGGAAGGAACTTTAGTCTGCCACGACCCAAAGGCTCCACTGGAAGAGTGGGAGGGGTAGTGGTAACGGAACCCCCTCTATCGTCAGACGTGTCGATATCAATAGCAGAAGACTCAGTATCAGGAGAAACATGAGGCATAGGGACAACCGGAAGATCTTCATCATTATTCGGCGCAGAAGAAATGGGCACAACAAGAGGCGGTGGCAAAGAATCTGGCTCAGACGAGTCTGACTGGTATGGGAATTCAGCCTCAAGAAACTCCACATCACGAGAGACAAAGAAAATCTGACGATCCAAATCCTAGAAACTCCACCCCTTTTTGCCAAAAGGATAACCGACAAATAGGCAACGACGACTCCGAGCAGCAAACTTGTCACCATAACGATCTTGGTTATGAGCGTAACAAAGGCAACCAAAAACCCTCAAATGAGACAAAGAAGGAGCCGAACCATAAAGAATCTCATATGGAGTTTTACCATGTAAAATTGAGGAAGGAGTCCGATTTATCAGATAGACCGCAGTCAAAACACAATGACCCCAAAAAGGAAGAGGCAGATGATCCTGAAAATGCAAAGCACGAGCTACATTAAGAATATGCTGATGTTTGCGTTCTACACGACCATTCTGTTGAGGAGTGGCTACACAAGAAGTCTCATGCACAATCCCTTGACGACGAAAATAAGAGGCAAAACACATGAACTCACTTCCATTATCACTACGAACAACACGCACCAATTTATCAAATTGTCGCTTAATCATAGAAAAAAAATTCAGCAATGTGGAAGCAACCTCTGTCTTATCATTCAATAAATAAACCCATGTTCCACGAGAACAATCATCCACAATAGTAAAAAAATATCGTGCACCACTGAAGGACGGAACACGATACGGACCCCACAAATCACAATGAATCAAATGAAAAATATCATGACTAACAGTCTGACTGAGAGAAAAACTACGACGATGTTGTTTAGCACGAAAACAAGCATCACACGATCTATGCAAATTACGAGAACTAGAATCAATAATAGGAACCTGAGACAGTACTTGAGCAGATGGATGACCCAAATGTTGATGCTACACATCGACAGAAACCTTCTGAACAAAAGAAACTGCCGTAAAAACAGTCCCTCGAAAGAAGTAGAGACCCCCAACTGCTCACCCGCGCCAATCACCTTACGCGAAGTGCGGTCTTGAATAACACAAAATTTGTTACTGAATTGAGCGGTGCAGTCGGAATGATCCAGCAATTGATATAATGAAATCAAGCTGCATCGAAGGCTGGGAACGTATAAAACATCATAAAGAGTGATATGAGATCCCAAATAAACAGTCCCAGCCTTGCTAGCCATAGTCAAGGAACCATTAGGCAATTGAACAGGGCGGGCGGGAATATCCCGAACATCGAAAATAAACTCCAAGAATCCTGTCATATTATGAGTTGCCCCACAGTCGTACATCCAATCAAATAAACGACGCGTACCAGACAAGTGATTATTTTGTTTAGCAGAATTAACCAACGACACAAAGTGAGACCATTGTTCATCGGTTAAACTGCCAAGTGCAAGACAATCAGAATCACTCAAAACTCCACAAGCAATGGAAGAACCAACAAAACCGGCAACAAATGAATCACCGATACCACTGCAGAATACTACCTTCGCAAGAGCACCACTCTCATCGCGAGCTTCACCGCGGAGGCCACCACTAGAATTACAACCATGACCACCACTAGAACCAAACCATTTCGGATATCCAATAATATCAAAGCAAGTAGCAGCTAAATGACCCGTTCGACCACAATGAGAACACTTGGGACGACTATCTTCGGCCGCACTTGTCGAAGAATATGCCATGGATGTTGACGAAGTTGTTCGTAACTGGGCAGAATGCCTTTTTTTTTTTTTTAA